GGGAAAAAGCAAAACGGCCAGACTTCCAATTTGCTTTTTCCCGGGCCGGGAAAAAGCAAAATGGTTCAGACTTCCAATTTGCTTTTTCCCGGGCCGGGAAAAAGCAAAATGGTCCAGACTTCCAATTTGCTTTTTCCTGGCCCGGGAAAAAGCAAAATGTATCAGGCTTGCAGTTTGGAATCCGGGCCTGGAAACAAGCAGCGCCTGTGGAATTCGAGCCCGCAACCTTCTGCTTATGAGCCTGGCGTCTTATCCATTAGGCCACAGCTCCTTGATTTTACTTTGTAACCCTGATATAGACTGATTTTTACGAACTTGACTCAGACTTTGAATTTGCGTTTTCCCGGCCTACACTTTCAATTTGCTTTTTTCCGGGCTGGGAAAAAGCAAAATGATCAAGACTTCCGGCTTTGGTTGCGCCCAACCCTCCATGAACAAAGAGACGGCTCAGCCAGGCCAGTTTGCTCAGACTTCCAATTTGCTTTTTCCCGGGCCGGGAAAAAGCAAAATGGTCAAGACTTCCAACCAAGCCATTTTCATGCTGGTGTGTTTTTGGTTGGGCGCAGCCCTCCATGAACAAGAGACGGCTCAGTCAGGCCAGTTTGCCCAGTCAGACTTCCAATTTGCTTTTTCCCGGGCCAGGAAAAAGCAAAATGATCTAGACTTTCAATTTGCTTTTTCTCGGGCTGGGAAAAAGCAAAATGGTCAAGACTTCCAACCAAGACATTTTGATTGCCCAACCCTCCATGAACAAGAGACGGCTCAGTCAGGCCAGTTTGCTCAGACTTCCAATTTGCTTTTTCCAGGGCCGGGAAAAAGCAAAATGGTTCAGACTTCCAACTTGTTTTTTCCCAGGCCTGGAAAAAGCAAAAGGCTCAGACTTCCAATTTGCTTTTTCCCGGCCCGGGAAAAAGCAAAATTGTTTCAGATTTTCAATTTGCTTTTTCCCAACCCGGGAAAAAGCAATCGGAAGTCTGAAGAGCAATTGTTCTTGCAGCGTGGCCAGGTCACCAACATGACTTGCGCAGACCTTTCGCAGGACCTTCGCGAACCTTTCGCGACTGCAGTGAGAGCACAGTCGAAATCGGCCTTTGAAATTCGATCACTAACAAGGAAGAGGTGGGTTTTTGAACGACGCTCATATGACTTCATAAATACCCAAGGGACAAACCCAACCGTCTGCTTGTCGAGCTCTGCATCAAGCCATTGACCTGCATCAAGCAAGGGACGGAGTGGGAGTATGACTTTAAGAAGTGTTGTTCCGAACTGGAAGGTTAAATGGAACCTTTGCCTCACAACTCCTTACGGAAAGCTTCTTCGCTCCATCTTACCACTGGCTTTATAGATCTTTATAGCAAAATTCTGTAACTCTTTTCATCATCTCTCGCTCGGAGACTGAATCAATGTATTTCAAAGCCGTTGGAATGTGCAGTTTCGTGGCAATCTCTGGCGTGTGTCAGGTGGCCCAGCGCTGGACCACTGTGAATTTTCTAGCTGAAAGCTATTCATAGATAATGTCCATATTCGTGCAGCTCATCTCACAAATGCCGGCAAGCTGTTCGACAATGGTCAATGACAAGGATCATGTTTATCGTCCTCTTTTTGTTTAGGAGGGGAATCAGTTAGGAAGCTAAGGAAGCTACGCAAAAGCTAAGGAGCTAGCAAATCTGTTTAGGAGGAGTTGCAGGAGCTAGCAGGAAGCTAAGCTTAGTAGCTATTGAGTAGAGACTAAGCTCAGGTGACTAAGCCTGGACGCACTCTCTACTCATCGAACCGACATGGTCCAAGTACTAAGCGCATCTAAGCACCAGACCCAAAGTTGCGCTATGTTTCAGCTGGTGTCTGTTTCGTCCTGTCTCTGAACAGGTCTGCAGGTTCTCTGGCAACCCGGAAGAGCTTCCTGAGCAGTTGCGCACGCTTCCACGAATCAACGTTCCCCTGCTATTAGCTATTGATGTGCAATGGATAGCTGAATCCAAGCAGCTTGCCACCAAAACCACTGCTGTTCACAATCAAGACCAGAACCGCCAGAACCATTCTGAAAAAAACCAACCGAGCCTACCTTAAAGACGAACCAAGCATTACTTCTCACATTTCGGGTCTGTGCTGTAGAACAATCTGTCCTCCGGTGGATACTGCATGCGTAGACATTTGTATGTAGGCACCGGCACCGGTAGGGTGGCTTGTACCATTGTTTCACCCGACTGGGCCTGAGGAGATTGCCAAATTGTATGCTGCACACTAGCCTCCTTGGGACCTGTTAACCGTGATTTTTTCAGTCTCCCAACATCCAACTCCAGGTATCGGACCGTGATCACGCCATCCAGGATGCAAGCCTCTGGCAAGTCTATGGTGCATTGGACCTGCAACGGGTTTTAACATGGTTTAACCAAATTTTGGAAATGGAACAGCAACTACTGCAACTTTCAACTGGCTGATGGCAATCTCATTGGGAGCTACAGTCCCATTGCCCTATATATCTCACAACGTCTTTCAGGTTTGAATTTTCCCGTGGGGGTGCGGGAAGGCCGTGAGGAGACAGCTACTAGTCTACTAGTAAGTAAGTAAGAATACTAAGTACGAACAGTACTAAGCTAAAGTAGTTTCTTAGGTGGACGGCTAGGGCTGGGTTCAGGCTTCTGTAAGGAAGCTCCTTCCTTGAAGAAACCGGAGCCTGAATGATTCGGTTCCTATTAGGAAAGCATTGCATATTGTTTGTCCAAGCTTCCTGCGCCCCACTCTGCTGGAACGGTGATGGTTTCCACAGTAGGTGGCCCAAGGCTGCATCGCTCAGCTGCTCTGGGCAGCCGCTCTCTTCGAGTCTTTCACCAAATCCTGAGTCTTTGAGTAGTGAACTTCCAAAGAAAAGGAGAGCGGCCTCGCAACGGCCGGCTTTGAAGAAAGCCGCAAACGATACAATATATATATATGATTAATTACAACCTTCCACGACCAAAGTTCCATTTCCCAAAGACCGGACATAGAATTGGGGAATGCCTCAAAACCAGAATGGGCTTCGTGTGTGTGTGTGTGTCAACCCCTGTCCCTAAGGGTTCTGAGAAAACCAATGTCAGAGTGTCACACTCTGTATCTAAGAGTTTTCCTTGTTTTGTTCCAGCAGGGGGATGGAGAGGATATGTGAGGCTCCATCCAACGAAGCTCCTCACATGATCCTAGGATATCGGCAAGGACGCTTGCCAACGTACCTGCAATCAACTGTTGCCCACGCTGTCCACTCCTTTGGTTTGTTTCATGGCTTTTCATGTGTTCCTTTCCCCAAAACAGGTTTCCCAATGCAGTTTTCAGCCGCTCGTGAATTGCAGCCAGCCGCGCGAGTGAAACATTTTTTCAACACTTCAAGTGACCTGACTCTTTCGCCTTGCTGTTCCATCACCTTCCTTCTCAACGTGGGAATTGAGTTAACAGCAAACCAATGTCAGAGTGTGAACCGCTCAGCCGTCCCACTTGGGTGCTGGGTGTGATCCTCCGCAAGGAGGCGCTGCAATCATTCCGGAATTCGTGTTACTGTTTCTTCGTTTCCACCACTTGTTGGATTTTCTTAACCGACTTTGTTTCACTACTGAATTGTCTGAACAAAGAGCCGCCGGGCTTTCACGGTGAACAACCATAGCCGCCGGGCTAAAACACGGAATTCCACTTGAGGTCAGGCATGTTTCCCACCACCTTCCCCCCCCCCCCCCCCCGT